CCGTGTGATAACATCCTATGTAATGTCTATGGGTTAGAAGTGGAGAGCTTCTTTTACATGAATGCTCTCCACTGAACTGAAGTCCTGGAAAAATCATGGTTCCAAATTGTATGGAGAGTCTCCACAGATAACAAAGGCTTCCTTTTTCACATGCCAAGGGGTGCGCTCTTCCTAGCATGTGCAATGTACCCCATTTATAACACCTGAATAGGGCTTAAGAGATGGTAACTTTTCTCAGGTAATCTACCAAGCTCACATCAAAAGAAAGACCACAATTGAGGACTCTGCATCTCTTAATCTCTGCAATATACTACAGTAGGCCCTCCACATTTGCTGGGGTTAGGGGTGCAGGGACCCTGTGAAAAACTACAAATAAAAAAACCCTACATTTTTTAACCTGAGAGAATTCCTCTCTAGGAATCTCTAGGTTGTATGGAACAAGTCTATGGTCAACATTTACCAGACAATGGCCATAGAATTGTGCTGGAGGACCTACAGTTGCTTAGAGAAATGTTTTCTCTAGGTCGTCCAGTGTGACTTCTAGTAGATGTTGGCCATACAGTCATGCTTAAGGACTTAGAGATTCCTAGAAATAACATAGTGATCACATCCATGAATAATCAAATCTGCAAAAGTCAAAGCCATAAATGTGGATGGCTGACTGTATTAGTCCACCTCCTCATTCCAGAACATACATAATTCCACTCTGTTATATCAACCAAACAAAATTCTTGAGTCCCTTGTCCTAACTAGAGCTATCAACTAGAAAGTTAAGACTAACAATCACATTGGGGTCCATATTATCACATTCTATTCAGGTTTCTGCCATTCATGGGTGGAGAACGTAAGATAATACACCAGAGAGACCACTTAGTGCTTTAGTTTCAACAAACAAGCAACAGTGTTTGCTTACTTCACAGATGCAATGTGAGGCTCACTTCATAACAGCAGTCACACTTCTCTCTAGAGACAACACACACAGCTGTTAGGTCTGTTGCTCCCACTTCACACCTTTAATTCTCTTGGCACAGAAGTTTGCCACAAGTGGCCACATGGTGGTGCTCTGTGACCACATGGTCTCCTGACAACTTCAAACTCAAGAAAGTTTAAAATAACCCTTTCCAGGAAAGTTCCTATTGCTGTGTGTAGACAAGCTGTTTCAGCACTGCTGAAGTTCTCTTGTATTGACTTCTTCCCAATATTCAAAACCCTTACAACTTAGAACTTGATGAAGAACTGGATCTGATATGACCATTTTATGTACTATGTGTTGTATAGCCTTAGTCTCATTTTTTCTGCAAGAGTTGTTGTTGTTGTGTCTTCAAATTGTTTCTGACTTATGATGATTCCATAGAATGGAGCCATAACAGTGTCAAATTGCATGAATTCTGCAGTGTGACAGCAACCAAAATTATCATGGGGTTTTCTTGGCCAGTTTCTTCAGAGGGGGTTTGCCATTGCCATCCTCTGAGGCTGAGAGAATGTGATTTGACCATGGTCACCCATGGCCAAGCGGGGATTCAAACCCTGGTCTCCAGAGTCCAGTGCTCAAACTACTGTGATGTAAAGTCTACTACTGAGAAAAGAATGCTCTCACACTTCTAATGTTGTCATTTCTGACCTTTCCTATTGCCATTTTATTAGGGGAGAGGTTCTGTGTATGGCTCCATGTTAGTCAGTTGCCATAAGGGTGTAGCTATGGGGTGGGAAGATGGGGTCTTTGCCTCACCAAATAAGAAGTGTGCTCCTCAAATTATCCTTCACTCCTAGCATTGCAGAGAATGAGACACTGACCATTCTTGACACTTAGAACTTTTCTATTTGCTGTGTTTGGATTCCCTTGGTAACTTGGCCTGCTCCTTTTCTTTTTTCAATGCCCAAACTATATTTCTAAATGCTCAATTCAAATTTTAAGTGATTGCAATACTAGAAATTTTGGGGTCTGATGGAAAATTTCATGGGGAGAGGAGAATTCCTATGCCTTCATTCCCCACTCCCTGTAGCTACACTCCTGTGAAGAAAAAATACATCTTAGAAATAGAAGAATGCACCCTAACCCCAGCCAACCACACCTCCAGTTTGGTTTTGGGTTTGTTTGTTTTTCCAAATCTACCCATGATCCAAGAAATCACTACATCCAGCAATAAACAGTGCACATCTGATAAGAAAAAAAAGTCCTCTGACAAGGAATGAGTGGATATGGAGATGCCAACAACCGGCAATACTTAACAAAAATGCCATCGTGTGTCTGAACGCAAGCTTTCTAATATCCTTTATGTAGCATTTATGTAGCATTCTCAGAGGCACAAGTTTATAATACAAACATGCTTCATTGAACAGAAATTGAAGATAACATCAAAGATTACTTATTTAACACATCTAAATCATGACTGACAGTAACTTTAACTCCCTCCCTCCCTTTCTCATTCCTTTATGTCTTAACTAAGGCTGCATCTACTGCAGAATTAATGTAGTGCTAATGGCTCAATGCTATGAGATTCTGGAATTTGTAGTTTTGCATACCTCCTCTGTCAAAGAGCTCTGTTTTGGCCAATATTTGATCCAAAATATGAGAATTCCATGACTATTTCACTTTCCAGTAATTTATCCAATAAACATATCCATACCCCCCAGGCCATAACATCACACAAGGCACCCCTGCGCTGTTTGACATCATAAAATTTTCCCCCACAACCAGAAGCAGAGTTCCAGCTTCTTAATTTTTCTAGTTTGGAGCATTTTTGGAAGTCTGTGCACACACACCCTGCAAAAAAACACCACCCCAGGGGCAAAAAAGTAGCCTCCAGAGCCACAACACTTGTCTACTCCTGACAAAAGATATAATTTAAGGGGTTTTTTAGATCCTAAAGTAGACTTCAAAGATGTTTTAAGTTTTAGAGTAATATTTCCAAGCTGCTTTGGAGGTTCATTCCAGAATGTATATGTTGAAAAGACTGCCATCCCATGTCAAATGTTGCAATAAAATTATTCAAAGCTCCCGGGGAGGGCTCTCCACCTGCCTGGTTAACATCCACAGCATGAAGGTTGTTAACTAAACTACTGATATCATTGTATAGCCCTTGGGGAAACTACACTTCCCAGTTCCCCCTAATATTGCTTAATCCTTAGGGAAACTGTTTCCCAGGGGTTCTTGCATCTTGCAGTAATGTAGCAGTAAGTCAGGTAATGAAGGAGAAAAAGTGGGAGAGAACTCAGATCCTTGCCAGGTAAGTAGGTAGAAAAGAATGGAAGGCTGAATGTGGGCAAAAAGAATGGCGTTCTTCATTGGCTCAGAATAAAAGTGAAACCAGTTCATAACCAACTTGCTCTTGGGGGGTAAAGGTATATGAAAAATCCTTCTCATATATGAGTCTGCCCAGAATCTAAGCTCCTCAGTGAAGACCCTGTTGCATGTTCCACCATCCCAAGAGGTTAAGGTGATGTCAGACAGGGCTTTCTCTACAGCAATACTTAGGACATTACTGCAGAACCCCCATTCTCACCACATTCGTACTTAGGAAAAATGGAATTATACCTGTTTGTGAGCAACCATTATCACACATCTCAATCGCATGACTAGGACTGCTTCTGCCATTGTACTCTCTTTCTGACTCTTTCTTAACCATGCCTCCCTGTCTTACCCAGCATGACTTTTAGACTTTTTTTTTAACAAAACCATTTATTTATTTATTTATTCACTTTTTCCATGAAATTCTGGAAATCTACTACTGTGAATTAAGATTGTTTT